AGCAAGTGAGGAAAAGTGGGCACAAGCCCTAGCATAGTGCAGAAACGCTGATGATCACCATACTGAAGTGCCTTGGTGAATATATCAGCAGTGTTGGCCCGAGTGGCCACATAACGCAGACGAAGCTGACCACGCTGCTGCAACTCTCGAGCCAAGAAGTAACGCAGAGCGATGTGCTTCGTCCTGTGCTCCGGTCACTGCTCCTCACACAAGGCAATGGTAGCCTTGTTGTCGACGTACAGCACTGGAGGAGAACGAGGCCGCTCTCCCAAGTTAGTCAGCAGGTAGGTCAGCCAGCGTAACTCCTGTGCAGCCATGGCTGTGGCGTAGATCTCAGCCTCACAACTGGAGCTGAGAACTGAAGATGAGCGTGTAGAACGCCAAGAAACTGAACCAGAGCCAAGGCTGAAGGTGTAACCCCGTGACGACCGCTGAGTAGCCTGGTCGTCAACCCAAGAAGCGTATGAGTGCCTAGTGAGAACAACTGAGCTCCTCCCTCCAAGCACGAGCCCCATGCCCGATGTACTGCACAAGTAGCGCAGTACCCTCTTTGCAGCATCCATGTGCACCTTTCGGTGCCGACCAGGAGCCACGTAGCGAGCCAGAAGGCCAAGAGGGTACGCGAGGTTAGGACGAGTGCAAGTCATCAGGTACATGAGGCATCCAACTAGCTCTGGGTAAGGACCACTCGGCTCTACGGACTCGTCCGAAGGTGGAGCTGAGAGCGAGTGACCTGTAGCCAGAGGAGTGGTCTGTGCCGAGGACCAGGTGAAGCCGAAGCGCTGAAGGACCTGCTGCACCATGTGTGACTGAGTCAGTGTGATGGTGCGGCGTGCTCTGTCCCGGGTGATCTGCAAGCCAAGGTAGCTGCGCAGTTCACCCAGGTCTGTGCACATGTGTCTCTTCTGCAGCTCCGACTTCACCAGGGCGAGAGCCTCAGTGTCAGCAGTGGCAAAGACCAAGTCGTCGACGTACACGAGGATGTAGAAAGGCGGCAGCGAAGTGTCGGTGCGCAGAAACAGCGACGGGTCAGCAGTAGAAGGCGCGAACCCAAGAGCCGCAAGTGTAGTCCTCAGTGTGTCGTGCCACTCACATGGCGCCTGGCGGAGACCGTAGACCGGCCGCCGGAGGCTCCACTAGGTACCAGGAGGGAACGACCCAGTGAAGCCAGGAGGGCGGCGTAGCCAGATCTCCTCGTGCAGGCTGCCCTGCAAGAAAGCTGTACTGAAGTCAAGAGAGTGAAGCTCGTGGTCACGCTGAGCGGCAACGTGTAGTAGCAACCGAAGAGTGGTCATCTTCGTGGTGGGGGAGAAGGTCTGGAAGAAGTTTACTCCCTCTCGCTGACTGAAACCTCGAGCAACGTAACGAGCCTTGAAGACAGGCCGAGAACCTGGCGGCTGCTTCACCCTGAAAATCCACATGCCACTGACGATGTTCGCTCCAGGGGGGGGAACCTCGTCGACGTAAGTGCCAGTGGACTTCCAGGATGCCATCTCTGCGTCCATGGCTGTCTGCCACTGAGAGGAGTACTCACCCGTGATCGCCTCAGCGTAAGAGCGCCTTGAGGACCAGTGGCTCCAGCACCTCCAGCGCCAACCCCAGGGTCAGCAGCGACACCAACTCCAGTGGGTCCAGCACCCTCAGCTCCAGCTCCAGCGGCACCTCCAGCTCCCACACCACCACGGCAGTGGCGACAGTACCGAGAGTACCACTCACGGAGCTGTTGGGAAGAGAGAGCGCCCCCAGGCGCAGTAGCCCCAGGCTCATGACCTCCAGGCTCAGCACCCCTAGACACAGCACCCCCAGGCTCACCACCCGCAGTCTCCGCACCCCCAGGCTCAGCACCCCCAGTCTCCGCACCCCCAGGCTCAGCACCCCAGTCTCCGCACCCCCAGGCTCAGCACCCCCAGTCTCCGCACCCCCAGGCTCTGCACCCCTAGTCTCAGTACCCCCAGACCCAGCACCACCAGGCTCAGCACGCTCAGGCTCAGCACGCTCAGTACCTTGCACAGGGCCAGAGTCAACAGCTACCTCGACAGGCTCGACCGGGTCTACCTGGGAAACACCTGAGGGAGCAGGACCATGGGGAGGCGGGGGGTCTACCGAAGCAGCACCTGGCGTGAGGAAGAGCGGCGGAGGGGGGAGCGGGGCAGTGCGGTAGGGGAAGAGACGGTAAAAGGGGACCGACTCGTCAAACGTGACGTCCTGAGAGGGGAAGACACGGCGCGGGAGGAGAGCTTGTCCGCGGACGTATCGCGGACAAAGGCACGAGATCCCCAGACACGGAACACAGACGCGTCGCCAACCTTTTCCGTCCAACGCAGTGTCGGCGAGGTCTCCGGAGGGGAGACACGGGGCCAGAGGTTGAGCTGATGCGCGGCGTACCGGACCGGAAACGGCCACAGAAAATGGGGGGCAGCCGCATGGACCAAGGAGGTACGAGCGACCTCCATGACCAAGCCAATGCGGCGCTCAGCAACCCCATTCTGCTGAGGAGAGGCCGGAAGTGTGAACGTCTGCTCAATGCCCTCCCCCTCACAGAAGGCCTCCAAGAGGTTGGAGGAAAACTCACCACCTCTGTCAGAGTGCAGTCGCAGGACGGGAAGGTCCGTGCGAAAGCGCCTCTCCAGCTGGAGACGGGTCGCGCGGATCCAAGGGATCAAGACAGCAGGGACCTCTCCCTTGGTGCACAAGGGGAAGACCGTGGTGTAATGCGTGTAGTCGTCAACTACCAGCAGGAAGTAGCGCTCCCCGCCCTGTCCACGGACGCGGGCAGGGCAGTGCTCACCAGTGGTGGGAAGGGCAGGCGCACGACGGAGGCGACTGCGGGGCCGCTACAGCGGCAGGGCGGAGCCGCGACCGTGGCAGGGAGCTCCGCGGCAGTTGCTGCAGGGCGGGACCGGGCCGCGACGATCGCTGCTGTAGGGGCGGCTGCTCCAGGGGCCAGGGGCGGCTGCTGCAGTGGCAGCTACTCCAGGGGCGGCTGCTCCAGGGGCGGCTGCTCCAGGGGCCAGGGGCGGCTCCTGCAGTGGCGGCTGCTCCAGTGGCCAGGGGCGGCTGCTGCAGGGGCGGCCGCTCCAGGGGCCAGGGGCGGCTGCAGGTGCGGCTGCTCCAAGGGCCAGGGGCGGCTGCTGCAGGGGCGGCTGCTCCAGGGGCCAGGCGCAAGGTAGGGCAGGGCGACGCGGCGGGCAGGGCGACGCGGCGGGCAGGGGCGACGCCGCTGGCAGGGGCGACGCGTCGGGCAGGTCGACGCGGCGGGCAGGGCGACGCGGCGGGCAGGGGGCGACGACGCGTCAGCCACTGGGTGCGGCTGCGTCAGCAGCAGGGCGCGGCCGCGTCAGCAGAAGGTCGCGGCCGCGTCAGCAGTAAGGCACGGCCGCGTCAGTGACAAGGCGGAGCCGCGACTGCGGCCTGACGGGGCCGCGACAGCGACCTGACGGGGTCGTGCGCTGGCGTGACGGGCCTGCAGAGGCTGCTCGCGGGCGGCGAGGGCCTGCAGGGGCGGCGCGCGGTCGGGCAGAGGCTGCGCGCGGGCGTCGAGGGCCTGCAGGGGCGGCGCGCGGTCGGGCAGAGGCTGCGCGCGGGCAGGGGCGGTGCGCGGTCGGGCGGCAAGGTCCTGCAGGGGCAGCGCGCCGACCTGACGGGCCTGCACGGGTGGCTGACAGGCCTGACGGGCCTGTAGGTGGCAGCTTGGGGGCCTGACGGGCCTGCAGAGGCGGCTCGGGGGCCTGATGGGCCTGCAGGGGCGGCTCGAGGGCCTTACTAGCTTGCAGGGGCGGCGCACTGACATAGGGCAGCAGGAGGCAGCGCGAGGGCTGCAGGACGGCGCGCGGGCAGAACGAAGGGCGAGGCGCGCGAGGGCGCACTAGCAGAAAGTGGCGCACGAGGGCGCACGAGCAGAGAAAGACGCACGAGGGCGCACGTAAGGTAGGGCGCACGAGGGCGCTTCTAGCGGAATAGTGGGCCCGTAGTAGTAAGCGGTCCTAGGTGGCAACCTAGGCTCGTGATACCATGTCATAATCAACAAGAGTGATTGAACTAGGAAAGAGTTGGGTACAAGTAGGAAACCCTAAACTTACTGTACCCCAAAGTAACTACCGCACTACACCCTAAACAAACTGTAGCAGATATAACATTTGACAGTTTTTACAGTTTTGCACCAGTTGGGTGATGCAATAAGACTCCCGAATCTGTGGCAAACATTCGGTTGTAGCGGATATCCATGCGTTAGCAATCATGCATCATAGTGAACGAGCTCGAATTCAGTTCTGGTATAGCCTCCAGAAGGAGTTTCAAAGCGTTTGAACATGGACTCTTGTTCTCCACACCCACTCACGCGCAGCCCAAACTCAACAGTGTGTGCTCGCTGTCTAACACACAAAAGTTTAGCGTATGACCAGCTCAGTCTGTTATGTCATGATACCCATCAGCAAAGATAATGGGCAGACAGTTGGAAATGATTTCTCTTGCCCCCCGAAAAAATCGCTCATGCTCGAAAGAAACGATTGCCATTTCTGGATCAAGAAGCGTTCATTTCTGGATCTTCCATAAATTTGGCGAATTTTGTATCAGCTCACATGACAGTACACGAAAGTACAGAATATAGCCCCTATCAAAAGTTACGAATCAATTTTCGTGTTAAAACAACAAATGTGTTCCGAAGCTTAGTTGCGAAAGACGCGTCCTGCGTCTTAGACAGGTGCGTCCAGACGCAGCGTTTTAGACGCAAGACGCTTAATGTGGGCCTGGGAAACGCTACAAAAGACACATGCCCGGCAGGGCAAAAAAAAACCCCGGGCAGCCAAAAACAATTGTTATAGGACATGGGAAGGGGAGGGGAGGGGGGGAACTTTCCACACATTCAATGCAAAACTTTCCCCAACAACAAACATTTCCCACAATTTTTAATATCAAGGCGAGTCACACATGTCACAAGGTCACATTATATCCAATCACTCAGCAACATGCATACTATACTACTACCGCATCAAGGCAACTAATCACTCATCCGCATCCTCCTCGCTCTCCTCCTCCTCCTCCTCCTCCTCCTCCTCCTCCTCCTCCTCCTCCTCCTCCTCCTCCTCCTCCTCCTCCTCCTCCTCCTCCATGTCTTCCTGGTGCTTGTACTCGTCGACGCACAAGCCGTCTTCGTCCACCTCCACATCCCCACTTCCACAACTTGCACCCCTCGGGAAGGGGAGGGGTGGGAATGTTCCCCTCCACTACCCCTGCCTTCCTTACTTCCCCACTTGGCCCTGCACCAGCCGCACCCTTATGGTGGCTGTGCACAACAGTCCAGTTGTGCGAAACAAGCACAAGGTCGCGCACCTTCTCCAACCCCAGCATGTTCCTTCGCGCCGTGTGCACCCCATCCCACACAGCCCATCCCCGCTCGCACGGGGAAGCGGAAACGGGCTGTGACAGCGCACAGCATGCAAGGCCAGCCAGGTCGGCGTACTCCTAGCCGTTCACCTTCCACCGCGTCACCATGTCCCCCTTTCTGTCCTTCAGCTCCACACGCCCCTCTATCGCCTCCTCTGTCCCAAAGCACCCCTTACCCTCAATATACGCCAGCATCACCTTCTGCGGCCCCTTCATCGTTCCCTTCATCTCACCGTCGTTCTTCCAGTACTTGTCGATAAAGGCCCTCGAGCGTGACAGCCAAGCCTTCATCACCTTGGTGCACTCAATGTCCTTGTGGTACATCCCCTCTTCCTGGTTGACCGGGTTCATAATCCGACGTACCACGTGAAGGGGGCAGGCCAAACTCTCGTCCCAACGTCGAAACAAAGGCTCCTCCAACCCCTCCTTATCCGCCGCTTTGAGCCGGCAATGCGCGCTCTCCAACAGCGCCGACAACTCCTCCGTCAGCTGCAGCATCATGTCGTAAAAAACCCCCATCATCCCCTTCGCCGGCCCATCCGTCTTTTTCTATCACCTTGTACGGCAGCTCCATCACCTTCACAAAGGTATCCGCCTTCTTCCACCACTCCGCATCCAATACCGACGCCTCGAAGTTCTTTCCAGTCTGCTGCTTCCTCGAGAATGATGAACTAGCAGCATGCAGGAGTACAAGTAGGAAACCCTAATTGGGTTGTACCCCTTATGGGCTACCCCACTACAGCCTACACCATAGGCACAGTGGGGGAGAACAAGTGGTCACAAGACCAGTCAAGAAAAGCAAAGCAAGCTCAGGGTGGATCACGAAGTCACCACACACTCTGAGCACAAGCAAATGGCCACAAGACCAGTTCACATGCAGAGTTATATAAAGCAGAACAAGCAGTACACTGATCAAAACCTAGCAAGGGTAAGCATGCAGGTATAAGCATATAGATCACAGTACAAGCAAAGTCAAGAAGTGAGCAAGTGAGGCCAACTAGGCACAAGTCCTAGAACAGTACAGAAACGCTGATGATCACAAGGCTGAAGTGCCTTGGTGAAGATATCAGCAGTGTTGGCCCGAGAGGCCACGTACGCAAGATGAAGCTGTCCACGCTGCTGCAACTCTCGAGCAAGGAAGTAACGCAGTGCGATGTGCTTCGGCCTGTGCTCCAGTATGTGCTCCTGACACAAGGCAATCATGGCCTTGTTGTCGACGTACAGAACTGGAGGAGAATGAGGCGGCTCGCCCAAGTCGGTCAGCAGGTAGGTGAGCCAGCGTAACTCCTGTGCAGCCATGGCCCCTGCGTAGATCTCAGCCTCACAACTGGAACTGAGAACAGAAGGCGAGCGGGTAGACCGCCAAGAAACAGAGCCGGAGCCAAGACTGAAGGTGTAACCCTGTGACGACCGCTGCGCAGCCAAGTCATCAATCAAGAAGTGTCTGCGTGACCAGTGAGGACAACTCGAGCCCGTCCTCCAAGCATGAGCCCCATGCCCGATGTACTGCACAAGTAGCGCAACACCCTCTTAGCGGCCTCCCAGTGCTCTGGTTGGTGTCTCCCGGACGCAACGTAGCGTGCCAGGATGCTAAGAGGGTAAGCAAGGCCAGGTCGAGTGCAGGTCATCAGGTACATGAGGCAGCCCAGAAGCTCTGGATACGGGCCACTCGGCTCTACGGACTCATCCGAAGGTAGAGCTGAGAGCGAGTGACCGGTAGGCAGAAGAGTGGACTGTGGCGAGGAGTACGTGAAGCGGAAGCGCTGAAGGACCTGCTGCACCATGTGTGACCGATTCAGGGTAATGGTGCGCCGTGCTCTGTCCTGAGTGATCTGCAAGCCAAGATAGTTGCGCAGCTCTCCCAGGTCTGTGCACGTGTGTCTTTTTTGCAGCTCCGACTTCACGTGGGCGGGTCCCTCAGTGTCAGCAGTGGCAAAGACCAAGTCGTCGACGTACACGAGTATGTAGAACGGCGGCAGCGAAGTGTCGGTGCGGAGAAACAGCGACGGGTCAGCAGTCGAAGGAGCAAACCCAAGAGCCGCAAGCGTCGTCCTCATTGTGTCGTGCCACTCGCGAGGCGCCTGGCGGAGACCGTAGACTGGCCGCCGGAGGCTCCACTGGGTACCTGCAGGAAACGACCCAGTGAAGCCAAGTGGGCAGCGCAGCCAGATCTCCTCGTGCAAGCTGCCCTGTAGGAAAGCAGTGCTGAAGTCAAGAGAGTGAATCTCGTAGTCACGCTGAGCAGCGACGTGCAGCAGAACCCGAAGAGTGGTCATATTCGGGGTCGGGGAGTAGGTCTGGAAGAAGTCGACTCCCTGTCGCTGACTGAAGCCTCGAGCAATCTAACGCGCCTTGAAGACAGGCGGAGAACCCGGCGGCCGCTTCACCCTCAAAATCCACATGCCACTGACGATGTTCGCCCTAGGAGGGGGAACCTCATCGACGTAAGTGCCTGTGGACTTCCAGGATGCCATCTCTGCATCCATGGCTGACTGCCACTATGAGGAGTAGGGACCCTCAATCGCCTCTGCGTAAGAGCGCGGGGTCGGGATGTCTGGTGCATCCGGGTCTCCCTCAGGTGCAATCAGCATGGACACGAGATTAGGTACAGCAGCTGCAAAACACTCAAAGTCCTCCTGCCTATCCTCAAGGACGTCCGTGCCAAGAGCACACTCACCCCCGACGGACGGAGGACAGACAGACTCAGACTCAGCAACAAGACTAGCGGCGTAGTCAAGACGACAGGCAGCAGCAAAGTCAACAAGCTTAGCAACTAGGGCAGACGGATCAATGGACTCAAAAGAAGGGTCAGTGACAACAGTGGCTAGCAGACGCGTGACAGTAGGGCTGGCAGCACAAAGCAAGTCAGACTCCAGGTCCGGACTGTCAGCAAGGGAGGACGCAGGAGGAGACGGCAGAGGGACACGCCATGGAACAGAGGAAGGACGAAGTGCCATCTGGTGTGTGCCGGGGACAGGAGGAGGACGCTCACGTGGAACACGACGATCAGTGCGGACAGCGCGAACAGGTGACACAGGATGAGACGCAGGCTCACGACGCTCTGTAAGACCTCCTTTCTGCTCAGTGTAAGGAGAAGGAGCAGGCAGAGGGGCGGCTGGCTGTAACTGTGACTGCGACTTGTCAGGCGGTGGACACAGGAAGGGAGGAGTAGGGCTAGTGGAAGGCGGGAGACCAAGAACGTGCTGAAGCAGGGGAATGAAGTACGGTCGCTGCCGCACACCGCCTCCAGAACCAGCCCCGACAAAACCAGTACCCCAAGGGCCGGCACCTCCAGCTCTAGGGTCGCCAGCTCCAACGCCTGCAGTACCACCAGCTCCAGCAGCTCCAGGACCTCCAGCTCCAGCAGCTCCGACAGCTCCAGCTCCTCCAGCTCCAGCAGCTCCAGCACCTCCAGTACAAGCACCTCTGGGACTAGCGGCTGCATTACCGCCAGCAGCTCTAGTACCTACAAAATGAGCACCTCCGGGACCAGCGGCTCAGCACCTCCAGCAGCTCCAGCTCCAGTAGCACCCCCAACGCCTCCAGCTCCAGCACCTCCAGCTCCAGGGTCTCCAACTCCAGTGCCTCCAGGAGCAGCACCCCCAGAACCAGCACGTCCAGCTCCAGCATCACCCCCAGAACCAGCACCTCCAGCTCCAGCAGCACCCCCAAAACCAGCACCTCCAGCTCCAGCAGCACCCCCAGAACCAGCACCTCCAGCTCCAGCACCACCAGTCCTGGCAGCTCCAGTACCTCTAGTACGAGCACCTCCAGAACCAGAAACACCAGCACCCTCAGCGCCTCCACGACGAGCAGCTCCAGCATCTCCAACCGCAGCACCTCGAGCAGCAGTACCTCCAGCAGCAGGACCTCCAGCTCCAGCAGCACGACCCCTCAGGCGGGCACGCCACGTAAGCCACTCTCGTAGCTGCTGTGGTGAGAGAGGCCCCCGTCGTTAAATGAGACCTAGAGGTACGCCAGCAGACTCATCACCCCCAGACCCGGCACCCCCCAGCTCAGCACCCCTAGGCTCCGTACTCGCAGGCTCAACACCCCCAGGCTCCGCACTCGCAGGCTTAGCACCCCCAGGCTCCGCACCCCGCAGCACCTCACGCACAGGCTTATCACCCCCAGACGCAGCACCCCGAGCAGCACCACTCGCAGCAGCACCTGAGTCGCTAGGGACCTCTACAGGCTCAGCCAAGGGGAGCGGGTCTACCTAAGACACACCTAAAGGAGCAGGATCCTGAGGGGGGAGGGGGTCTACCGGAGGGGGACCTGGAGCGAGGAAAAGCGGTGGGGGAGGGAGAGGGGCAGTGCGGTAGGGGAAGAGACGGTAGAAAGGAACCGACTCGTCAAAGGTGACGTCCTGAGAGGACGGAACACTACGCGAGGTGGGGTGGTAAAACTGCCAGCCAGGCGCGTCATGGGGGGAAGCCGAGGAAGACGCACGGAATGGTGCAGGAGGAGAGCTTGTCCGCGGACGTATCGCGGACAAGGGCACGAGCACCCCAGACCTGGAACACGGACGCATCGCCAACCTCTCCCGTCCAACGCGGTGTGGGCGAGGTCTCCGGCAAGGAGACACGGGGCCAGAGGTTGAGCTGCTGCGCGGCGTACTGGACCGCAAACGGCCACAGAAAATGGGGAGCCGCCCCATGGATCAAGGAGGTACGAGCGATCTCCATGATCTAGCCAATGCGGCGCTCAGCAACCCCATTTTGCTGCGGTGAGCCCGGAAGCGTGAGCGACTGGAGGATGCCCTCCCCCTGGCAGAAGGCCCCGCAAGAGGTCGGAGGAGAACTCACAACCTCTGTCAGAGTGCAGATGCAGGACAGGGAGGTCCGTGTCGAACCGCTCGCGGAGCTGGAGGTGAACTGCTCGGATCCAAGGGATCAAGACAGCAGGGCCCTTGGTGCGCAAGGGGAAGACCGTGGTGTAACGCGAGTAGTCGTCGACAACCAGCAGAAAGTACCGCTCGCCGCCCTGTCCACAAACGCGGGCTGGGCCTTACACGTCCATGTGGAGGGTCTGCACGGGAGCCTCTGTCAGGGGAAACGAGGAGTGAGGAGCGGCGCGCTGCCGCCCCTCGACACAAGGAAGGCAGGGCGGGGCAGGCGAGGTAGGGAGGGGAGGGAGAGACCTGGGAAGATCAGACACAAGGAGGCGACGGTGCATGCCACGAAGACGTGGCAAGGAGGGGTGACCCAGACGGTGGTGCCAGAGGAGAGTCTTGTGCGACAGGGAGCGACACGAACAAGGGGAGGCTACCTGACCTGACGCAGACACCTGACCAGTGGCAGCTACCTGAGGAGGCGCAGTCGTCAGTGTGTAAAGACTCGACCCTGGCCTACGGGTAAACGTGGCCAGGTGGCGACTGGTCCGGGAGCACGTACAGATCGCCACACGCTGTCCTCCAGGGGTAAAGGTGTCAACCCACTGGTCCCGGAGAACTGCTTTGCTCACCAAGTTCGTAGAGAACGAGGGGAGGTGGAGGCCCGACAGTGAGCCAGACGGAA